GACAAAATCCGCGGCACTTTGACCTGCTCGCATTTTTGAGCGAGGAAAACTCTCCTACGCCTCACGCCTTCCCCGTTTCCTCCTGCCTCAACCTGTGAAGTCAGCCATGATGAGGCGAAGCTCGTTGAAGCGATCTGAACAGTCGGCATGGATTGAGTCCGGGGTGCGACATGAACGCTCACATGTCACGCCCAGAGGGAATTCCAGCCGAAAATCACTTTCCAGAACTGTTTTCCGAATTATCGAAATTTCCGGAAAAGTCGGACTCTGCTGAACCGGCACTCAGACCTGGCGTCACGATTCGTACGGGGAAGTTGAGACGTGTGAGCGCAGTCAAACCATTTTAGTTGTTCTCCTCCCCCGCGCGGGTTCCTCGCCGGCATTTTTCTTCCAAACTAGCCCCGCGAACGCAAGGCCCGTGATGCCGGCAGAAAGAGCTTGGACACGTCCGAGGGACTCGCCAGGGACGACGGAGTTATAAGTCCGAAGCACTACCAGCAGCGGAAGCACTTCTTCCATCCACGTAGGTAATTCGAATAGAGTAACTAGACTTTGCTCTGCCGTGATCCAGCGTGGAAAGGAATGCAGTGCAAGGGTAGTCTGATGATCGGGCAGGGACAGAAAGCACCAGTGAGAGCCGAGAAACCATAGCGTCGCCTTGCTCGCTCCGCTGCAGTTCCAAATCAACATCGTTTCGATTCGGGAATTCTATCATCTTCCGCTTGCGACGACTCACCGAGAGCACGCTGCTTCACAATCATTGAAGATTATCGCGAAGCTTCCGATCTGGCGTCATCTATCTGACTTCGCGTGGCCGGTCCCTCTTTTCTTGGGTCGCGGCTCCAAACCCAACCTCGTCCGGTACCAAAAAAATATATTCATTGCTAGGTTATGCATGATGTACGTAGACACATCCTATTATAATTCGAATAACCTCATTTTGGGGAGTTATATCCACGCACGAAAAAGTGCAAACATTCCAATGGCTCCAATTAAGGTTGTCAATGATTGTCGACCGATGCTCGAAAACGCAGGATGAACGCGGTCCGAATATGTCAACGGAGTCATCCGCCCTTCGCTCGCACAACTAACTAATCAGCTACCATAACTCAGGGAAGCTCTCAGACCCTCATTGGCTTGTCACACACACGACTTTACGGCAGCACCAGCGTAATAATAGAGAAATCATTAGCGTTCACACTCAACAGTAGTAAATCGTTCGTGGGACATTTCGCGCGTGACAGAGGCCCTATTTCCCTGAACGGTACATGGAAGGGTTCTGTGCCGCTCGAATATCAAGTAACGTGTCTGCTGCCGGGTATATACAACTTTCAACGCCCTCCTGAAAAAGTCAGGGATGGAATCTTCCTGATATCGAATGACTTCCGATTCGGGCCTTTCGCTTTGTTGGATGCCTGCTACCGTCGACGCTGAATCAGATGTTTCGCATGGTCGATGATGGGTCGAGACGTCAGTGTTCGAAGACAAAATTGAATCATTCATTCGTTCACTCATCATGTCCACCGACGTTATCTGCACAACTGACAAACGCCATTCGAATGACTCGCGTTTCACTCTGCCGCGTTACACCGTTACGAGAACGGTTATTTCGTCTATACGGGTAGCACTCGGCAACAGCCTCGGCTTTACGATACGCGCGCGCAACCATGCTTTGTGGACTCGTCCGAGATCGGAGTCAGCGAGTGCCGCCATCGACTGCCCTTCTGAGCAAGTCAACTCCACTATCACCGAATTTAGGCATGGCTGTCACCGTACTCAAGTCGGCCGATGATACCCGGAATTGCGAGCAAGTCACGACAACACAGAAATAACCAATCCACCCGCTCAAGAACTAAAATCCTATAAGTGAGATCCGCAGGGGGAATACGGATAACGCACAACCCGGATCCAACAGTGATGCTCAATGTGTCAGTCCGCCAATGAATGAATCATCGAGTCTTCGATGGATCCCTGCTTGATACTTCTCGGACAAAGATCAATGCTGCGGTTCAAGCTACGATCGGAGGTATGGCGGCTGCGGACGCTCATCAAGTTCCTATCGCGGGACAGAATGGCAAGAGCAACTGAAAAGCGCATTGTCTCTGCCAATAAAGAAGAGCGTGACTCCGCAACAGCTGCCCAGCGACAAGCCGGAGTCTGGCGAACCGTAGACCACAACTGTTATTAACCGCGATCACGTCGAAGACGCTAAAATGAGACTTACTCAGGTGTTTTCCCATCTCGATGTAGTATTCATCCGATGTTTCCACTGTGGCCCTCATTGACGATGATGTGGCTTCTCATCATCGCCATCATAAAGCTCGTCGCGGGCGCGTAACCTCGGCCGCGGTCGAGACGACAGCAAAACATGACGAGACCGCGCAGTCCCATAAATGCGCGCTGATTATATTTCTACTCGACGATTGGAATCGTTGACGACTGATATGTATATTCCGCAGGATATCGTCTCAGTTCAGTCGGCAAGGACTGCACTCCATCACATGGTGTTATGTAGGATCCCCAAGCTCAGGTCGACGACTCCTTTCTCCCTGTGTTGATACTCAGTGGTGAGTAGCGGGGCTTTCCTATCTCTCGACGCTGAATGAGCAGTGATTTGAATGGCTCGAGCTCCCGGAAAATCCGACTTCTTAGCGGAATCCTGTTCCTATGCCGGAGAAGTCTGTTATCGTTTTTCACTCAAAGATTCGTTCGACGTCGGGCGTGTGAGTGCGCTGACATTTGTGTGAGCCATCGAGAAAAAATCTTAGTCCGGCACTCTGCGCCACTTATTCCGAAGCAAAAAACCCATTGCGTATGACACGCATTCCCATGACGCCATGTCGTGACGTTCAGGCAGATTCTACTAATTGTTTTGATTGTTCAGTCCATCTCATCAACGACATCTCCATCGCTTGGCCAGCTTTGTATGCAGACAAGGGTTGGAATCTAAGCTTATGACTCATACAACGGTTACGTTGGCTCAAAAGTCATGGAAGACTCAATGAAACCGGAGATCTTGGACTATACTTATCGGCCGTCCGACTAAAAAGACCGGCTGAGCTAGGAGTCATTGACTCAATGATTTTTATTCCTCGAGACGTCACCGCTCACACTGTTCCCGTGGCTCGCCCTTAATCGATAAGCAAGTGATTGGCAAGGGACTTTCACCAACGCTGCTTACGGGGATCACTCTTCACTTTCTCTCATGGTGACGTTCGTCGACGCGGATGAGTCCGACAGACGTGAAACAAAGCAGATTCTACGCACAGGGCATCGCGAAGAACTCCAGCGTCCGCCGACAGCGGTGGCTCACCACTCCGATGACTCATCCACGGGCCTACACGGAGGTGCTTTCTTCTAGAGGCGACATGCGGGTCACCAGACTCAAAATCGAGTGAGGAGCTCGAAAAAGTTCTCAACATGGACTTTCGGCGCTGCAAAATTGATTTATGAGCCGGGATTCCCGACTCGGGAGGGGATTCCTGGGCCCTATATCGAGCGAAATTATTCTCCCGCTTCAAATTGCTCCGATTCCCGGACCTGTGCTCGGGAGGAATCATCCCCGACATTGCTAAGTCTATCGCTGCTGATACGTGTGCGGATCACCCGCCAGAACAATCTATATTCCATTACTGAACTCCGGGAAATTACTCTCGGTCGGTATGTCCTGCAAACCGACGCAGAATATTCCCTCACGGTCGACTGCTATCTGCATGAGACGGCGGTCATATCGAGGAGAAGCCGATGAATTTCGAATGGAACCGCATCGATAGCAACAACAGCAGCAGTTTTCCTCACCGAAACCAGGAAGAGATAATCATGTAAACAGTGTCGAATATACATATCTCGGCTGCCTGGGTGAATGATTTGAAGACTGAGCATAGTGAACGGTGGGAAACCCATTCTATGTTTTCAACAGACGGCGGCATATCGTTCTGACGAGCCCCGGAACTTTCACCTCACCCAGTCTCAACTTAGTCAGTCAGTCCGACATTAGGTACTATATTTCAAGTTTCTTTGTGCCGCTCCTCCGGATCGCGGAACGCGGAAAGCACGGGGAGAGTTGCACTCGACCCAACACCGGAATGGATAGAATCAACTGACTACGTTGGGCTCCGAGTTAGCGAGATCGCTCCTGACTCGAATCGGCGCAGTTCGAGTTACGAGACTGAGCGTTCCGACGACGACGCAGACGGTGCTGACCGCCCCGAGAACACTCATGCAACAATCTCTTCCGTCGACCAATTGATCGCCATCGAAAAGTCCACTCCGGCAAGTGTTCCTCAGAGGACCTCCACACAACGCTAGTTCTCTTCGATGTACAGGTATTCCAGGGGGCGCGTCATCGGTGGCTTTCCTTAACGGCGCGGATGAGTTCTCCGGTGATACCATCGTCCTCTCAGAAGCGGATATTCATAACGAGTTCCGAATCGGAGAGCACCCGCATGGCCACCAGTTAAGGCTCGTTCTGACTGAGCGAGGTCAAGATCGGAGAAAGAAAGAATAGAGCACCGTAAGTCATGTTTTGGCTCGATCAGCTGTACGTTTCATCTTCGACAGCGCAGCATGACAGCATGGAATGGGGCTTTCCTCACGCATTCGAATCTCGTCGAGATCTGCACCATGCCCGAGAAAAATAGCACTCAGTATCTACCGAGCGGTCAGAGGGACGGTTTGGACTTCGCTCGTTAGCTACTCGGTCGGAATGTAAGAAAAGCGCGGCGACCCTCACGCTGTCCCCGAGTGGTTGCAGTTAGGCATTTTTTCCATTGACGGCTCCGTCGGAAAGGACGGCCAAATGATTCAGCGTCTCCCATTAGCTGTTCAAACGTTTCCGAACACGGATATTTTGCCAAGATAGCAACTGTCATCGCAGCCAAATGGTTGTTCAGGTTGGCGACTTCACCTAAGCAACCCCACCCAACAATGATTTGGATAGAGATTCCGACGAGCGAATACTCTCCCTTAAGAGCCAGTGGCCACTGGCACATTAAACTTACCCAAAGTTCCACGCCCCAGTTTTGGGAGTCGGGAGTAGACATGGTGTCCGACGATTTTATCGTGTCGTGGAGGAACAAATCACATGTTTCACGAAAGTGTTCTCACAAACCCTCGGTAAACGGCGGCGGGTCGAAGTGGCGGCGGCAGTGGTCGTCCGCAGGCTGAACAGTAGGTTGCTGGCTCAGTCGTCCGCCTTGCTAGCCTTCCTATCCGATCGCTGCCTGCCTGCCAGGCTCGCTGCCTGCCTATCCGACCGACTAACTGACTGCCTGGCTCTCTAGCGCTTAACGGAGGAGCTGCAGCAGCGAGTGCGGCGCATAGAACTTGCCCACAAGATGGCGTTTGGGTCCACAATCGACCAACCAACAAGCAACGAACACTCCTCTGCTCCTGTGTGTGATGTATGTTGCGATGGTGCTCACGATAGGGGAGAGTGTCGTCTCTCTTATAGTCTGCTCGTCGTCGGCTGTTGATAGTTGCTGCTGCTGCTGCTACCGCTAGGCTTTCACCTCACCTCAGGATGAGGGTCTGCTCATGCTTCGAGTGACTCATGCTCGTTCTTCGGATCGAGCTCCGAGAATCGGATCGACGATTCAATCCCAATCGATCCTAAGTTTGGATTATATACGAGCAGGATGCATCACTAAAACCATCAAGTTTTCGGTTGTCATTCGGAAGTTCTCAGGGCGCGAATTTCAAAATTCTCCCCGACTTATCACACTCCGCACCCCTATCTCGAATTCTGAGAATCTGCTCCGATAAGAGCCCCCGGGTTCATACCTCGATCCACATTGATTGGGTTTTTTGCCTTATGCCACGGAATGCTTCAACGATTCGTTCCCTTTGGGCACGCAAACCGAAACCACTCACCAGACCAACCAAAACAAGAACACGCGGAAAAACTGGATATCGACCACTCGATATTCCATCCGTGGCGGATCTCGAGCTGAGTCTCGATCGTCTTGAAAGTTCGTCGTCTCCGTTTATCTCGTGAGCGTGGGATTGTGCAGCCAACATGGTGCTCCGAAGGTCAGGATCCATTCATCGGAAAATCTCGATGAACAGCGTGAGTGATATGTCCAGCTGATAGATTTAGACTCCGAGTTATCCCAGGAAGGATTGCATAGGGATCCGTCCGGAATGACAATGCAGCGCTCCATCGTTCCGATCTCTCTTCAGAATATCGAGAAAAGGAAGTCGAAGAAATTCAAGCTAAGGGTGAAGGCTAAGAAGGAGCGTCGCGGAGCGAAGCCCAAGACAGTGCGAATTCATCCGGACGACGAGGGTATAATAACTCCTTCGATGATACGGTCGAGGACCCGGAAGAATCCGTTGGCGAACGTGAAACTCAGCAACAAGAAAAGGAATAAAACTCTGAAGCAGAAAAGGTTAGCGAGGACAATGTCATCGATCAGGATTGATTTGGCATTCCCAGCCGAGCAGGCCTGCTCGAACAGATCTCATGTGATATATTCCGGATACTACATGTTTGACTCTCTGCCGGATAATTCGCATCACTCTGAGAATTCACGATTTTGCAATTTTATTGTGTTTTCGGTTCCAGATACATGCAGCGAGATAAGGAACAAGCGGCAAAGGCAGCAGTGGAGGCGGCCGAAGCTCAGATGGAGACCGAACCAAAAGTGAAGAAAACGAAGAGCAAAAAACGAGACTCTGGGGTGACAGAAATGGACTGCGATTGAGGGCTCTCTTCAAAGATCCAGGGAGCAAGTCTCATGTATATTTCAGTTGCCAATATTCCCTCGTAATAAATTCCTGTTACGCTTATTGGTGAGCCAAAATTCTCAGAACGGAAACCAGAGTTCTGTTCCGAAAGGCTTCGAGCAAGGTTGCCCCGAATTCCTAATGAAGGAACATTCAACGGTTCCGCCCGCGAGGATTCGCGGAATACCCTTCGGAGTGGAGTGGGCATACCCTGAGAGGGTTCTGACCACCTGAGGTTCCGATGCCGAGGGGCTCGTTGCGCTCAAGCTGCCGCGATGGCCAACGAATGTAGCAGCATGTCCGCGGTGCAAAGGCAGCTGCTTGACCGCATCGTTGGCTCCGGCACCGATACCGAGTTTCCCAGCTAAGGATCAGAATCCTCGGACTTGCAAAACATCGATGACAGCAGTCAGCACGGATCCGAGACATTCCCGAGCTACGAAGCGGTCCTACGGCATTACCCGCATGTGGTCTATCCGGGATTCCGGGTCGTCGTCTCTCCTGTGATGCCTACATCACACTGATGAGGCTAGGCGGTTCGATCGACCTCATTCAGGAACACGGAAACTCGAGGCCGACCCTGAGATCAAAGTTCCATCGCGGGGAGGGTGATGGATGCCGAAATCGCAAGGGGGATTGCGATCAATAAGAACCTTCTCGTCGACCCTGTCAACGACGGCCGACGGAAATTCTATCTGCCGCTAATGAATTTATCATTCCGCCTCATCTGAGGAGCCTGCTCGCGCGATGCGAGCATTCTCTCGAAGACACGGAAGGCTCGAGGGGAGCATTGAGGATGGAGAAAAGGAGATGCTCAATTCACATGTCCGTTTCAATCATGTTTCCCTAAGAACCATCATCCAGCGCGTTGATTGTATAATCCCGGGATGCCTAGCTCGATCCTGAGGGGCAGGAAGAGGGCAAGTCTCATATAAATGGTACGATGCTGAAAGTCTCAACCTTTTCTTTACGACTCTTATCGAGTCGTTTTGAGACCGGTCGATGCTTGCCACTGGAATTCGCCGATCTCCTCGCAGGGAGCTGAGACCTGCTGGCTGTTTCCGATCTCCACCCTGCTCGAGGGAGGGGGCGAGACGACGGACATCCTGATTTATCCGGCGAAATCGATCCGATCGCTTCGTACATCACGAAGCGACGAGACAGTTCGAACCGATCTCGGGCGTAGGGATACGGGGATTGACTAATGTAAGATGGTGTACCCATATATATGTTCGAAGGGGGTGTATCGATGTCGTTCTTCCCCCTGGAGTGCGGCCGGAGCGATTTTACCCCTAATGTCTGAAGCTTTTCGGGCAAAACCTCTCGGAATCAGCACTTGATAGCGGTCAGGCGGATAGACTCTGAGACGAATGAGTCATTATTAGAGCTCGGAAGTTCAGGCATCATGCTTTTAATGCCTATATCTGCTTTTTTCGACTTTTTTTATGCAAAATGCCTGTTTTATTCTTTTTGTGCCTTGAGTGCCTTTTCGAGGTTCTGAGGGGCCGAATCCCGAGGATTTCGGGGGAAATTGAGGGTTTCTTATTGAGAATGGTGATGAGATGAGGTCGGCGAACCTAGTTCCCAGGAGCACATCTTGCTTTCGACAAGTTCCGATGCTCCACCAGAGCGCGCAAAAAAAATCGTCCTTTCAAAATGCTCGTATCAGATCGGCGTCGATTACTCACTGATGGGAATCCATGTTTCCACATGAGTTTCTCACAATACGACGCTAAGGGACGCTTTGATGCGTTTGTTTCCCTGCCTATTATGCCTATTTCGCCTAGTTTCGGTGCCTTTTTCGAGGGTATCCGTGCCTTACCGCCTGCCTTTTCTGAGATTTTTCAGTGCCTAAACTTCCGAGCTCTAGTCATTTCCATCCGAGAGGAACTCGATGGAACCAATGACCAGTGTAGAGCCTAGGGAGCGAAACGACAACGGTGGGCCCACTAAGGCAGGAAATGTCACAGTATTGCTTTGATAAGGCCCGAAAAACCCGTACTGAATGCCGCACACGGAGAAGTCGCTCGACGAATTTGAGACGAAAGCTGAATTTAGACGAGACTGCTCCTAGCAGGCTCTTGGTGAACTCATTTGAATATTTTATTGAACTCATCCGACAAAAGACGACTCTGCTATGAGCGGGAGGGCGGCCGGAAGAGAAAGCTGTGTGACGCTGGGCGACGTTAGAGTATGAATTCGCCGCAGCACATTCCGAAAACTACTCGGAGAGAGATGCAGAAGAGATGCGGAACTCTTTCCGTCTCGCCCACTCAGCTGAGAAACGGGAACGCTCGACATCAGAAGACAACTCCCGCTGCACCAAGAGGCGGCTCCCGAGCCATTCCGACGATCAAGGTTAGCGGGCGAACGGAAGTCACTTGGAGAGGTACCGGAAAAGAAAATCAATCATAACGATGGCTCCGCAAGAGCTCGGAGAGAGAACGCTCTCACGCGGGGCAGCTCTCTAGTCAGGTTGCTGAACATCGGCGTCTCTTACTGCGTTTTCGGAGCTGATTCTGCGCAGGATCAGTTCCGGCGGGTGGTGCCACGACCTGGAGGAGAAAGCCAAGTACCTATTGACCTGTGCAACGAGTCGACAAGTCTTAGACCCTTGGAAGGGGCTCTTTCAGAAAGCCCCGGAGAATACGGGAACGTACCGCATTCAGAGGAAGGATTGATGACGGCACTCGCCTCCTACGAAGGAATCTTGGGACTCCGAGTTCGGGCAATTAACGAATGTGAGGTAACATAAGGAAGCTGGTGGCACGGAACCGGTACGAGAGGTACAGGTTCGATGGAAGAGTCAGCGGAGAACTCGCAAAAATGTTTATGTATACCGCGGAGAGCTTGAAATTCAGACCTAGACCTCCTTCTGAGGCTGAGGAATTCAGGAAAAAATCGGATGGACGCGATTTGATGCTTCCACTCCGGAGAACATCGACAAGTCTGCACTCCCACTCGCAAACAACCACCAGATTTTTCTCATGAGATAGGATGCCCCTAGTTCTTCGAGAGTTTGTAAACCAATCGAGAGCTCTTCAAGAGCTCGTTTATCAATGACAGTCCCTCGAGAAAGTTCCGTGGGGAGCACCAAGTCTCCCCATAACGAGAGTGCCAAGTTCAACGTTCGCAACACAGTAGACATCTCGACTACCTATGGGGAACGATAGACTGAGCCCATCGGAAATTGCTCACTTATTGTCCGGATAGGCGCTCCCACCAGCCTAAATGACTCGAGAAGCGTGTATTTCGGATAGACCTTCAGTCTAGGTGACTGGAATTCTCTCTTCGATGGATCATCAGGAACCGCGGACCACGCTGACAGTCATCGTCATCAAAAATACACGTCCTCGCGCCATTTCTATCTCGAACCCTTGAAGGAAGATATGCCTCTTCGTTTGTTGTGGACGCGATTCCCCAGAAAGCACTGAGCGGATCGAATGGCAACCTCCAGACGAGCGAGATTCGCGTCGGATACTCCTCATCGTCGTTGTCTCATGATTATTCGCCTACTTGTCACCGTATCCCTCGCAAAAAAAAGGACGGGCGCAAATATCATATCGATCCCGACTCAATACATGGCAGCTCGTTCAGATTTTGCCGCGGACAGCGTATCTATCCATCCACTGTAATGAATCCCCTAAACAGAGGAGCGTCTCAACGCTCTGCGGTCTCGCGTGGTAGGGTCGTGTGTACGTTTCTGACATCTCTGTCATGGTCCAGCGCTTGGCGGAATTCCCGTCTATTTGGAAGACAAATGGACTCTTTTTTCATCATCGCGGCTTCATGGCGACGAATTCCCGTCATAGATTATACTCGGCGGGAAACTCAACTCGTTGATATACTGAAACTAGCCTCTCTCGCGTCCATTATTTCAATGGTCCTCAAGGGCGCGGGAGCGAAACAGCTTTCGAAAGCCTGACGATTTTGTGTAGAAGTCGGCCCTAAGCTCCGTGGGGGAACGTGCGCGTTCGCCCCACTATCCTGGAAGCGATTCTGAAGGAGTACGACACTACTCGCCATTTGTGGATTTCCGAACGAGGGATCGACTCTCTGAGAGCTGCGAAGTTCTCGCTTCTTGCCTTTCCTGAGCTCAGAATTACTCGAACAGGGGAAGGTGTCCTCGTTCCTGTCTTATTTGTTTTTTCTTATTCCTTCTTGCTGCTTCCTGGTCGGAATAGACACCGTATCCAAGCCACCGATAATACTCGACGAGGATTGGTGGCAAACGCATTCGATTTGATTCAACGAAACCACGTTTGAAAGTGGGAAACTCGATTCGAAACATGGAAAAACGGGGAGCAATCTCGGTAGGAGACCTATGTAGAGGTGTGACGCTTGTGAGCCATTCCGCTTTATTCGTTGTTGGTTGGGTCAATAGAGGTTAGTTTCCTGTTCAATTTCCTTTTGTGTGAACGTTTCGGCTTTGTGCTGTTCGAGCAATTCTCCCCCCGTTCCGCTCTGTGACCAGCCCCTCTCACACTTGGAGGTTGGAGCCCACCGAGGACAGCACGCCGGACCCAGAATTGTATTCCACCGAATGGGAAACTCTCGTCCCGCTCGGAACCATTGAGGACTCAGAAAAGCGGCCCGCGCTGGATCAGCCTCCCATACACAGAGCACGACAAGCACGATGCCCCGGCTAATAAGCTCGAGATTTTTCCGAGAATCGCGAAATTCTGAGAGGAGAAATTCATGAAGCGTTTTGCTCGAATGGGACCCCGCGGAGCAATGTGTGCCGCATTTGGTAAAATCTCACAATTCGGATGTTCCAGCTTCGAACGGGCGGTCTACTAGAGCCAGAGCGATTTCCCTCCACGGGGAGTAGGAAAAATTTCCTGACGCAATCTTCATCAGCATTCAATTCATCCATCCTGATCAAGGAGGGGGAAGCGAGGCGGAATTATAGATATATGGGAATTCTAGATCTTTGACGCAGCGAGCGTTTTCAGGGACTGGCGGAATCGAGGCGCGGCGGGGTGGGCCCTGAAACCTTGCCGCGGTGTTTGGAGCAGATGGGCAAATTGTTACAACCGGATAGATCCCTCAAGAGCGCAGTC